AAGTTTATCGGAGACTTTATTGTTATTTATATTTCGAAATCAGATATTGTGTAGCTTTTCCGCTTGCTTTGTAATGTTGTAATGTTACAGACGTGCTAGCCGTAAAGGTCATGAGACGACTTTAGAAAACAATGATGCATCCATGTAGGCTTTTAACTTTACATTAGTATATTATCCTCAAAGAAAATGAACTTATATTTCTAAACAGTTTCAAAGTCGTTAAATTTAATAAGACTGCATAGAAATGAAATATGCAATATACAGACATGCAAGTTAATGCTTTTTAAATAGTTATGTGTCTTCCAATAATAAATTACGTCAGCTGTAATTTATCAAAGTTATTTTCCTCATAACAGAGTCGTGCATCTTATAACTGAATTTGGGTTTGGCTCTGTCTTCTATCTATTACTAAATCATTTACATATCGAAACTTAAATGAAGTTTTACGATATACCGGTATATAGTTCTTTTGTTCGTCTTCAAATTATTTATTGAACGATATATAAACATATCCGTTTCAAAAATAAATACTTTTCAAATTAAGATATCTTTTATCAATATAGGCTGTTTTATGTAAACACTTACAAATGCACCTTTTGAGCAAAATTTCATTCAAATTTTGAAAAATGAAAATTTGCATTTCAACTTAAACCAGAAGTTCAAACAAACACATCGGTGTATTTAAATGACATTGTAGATTATATAATATATTAAAGTGTATAATGTATAGAAAATTTATTTTCAAAAAATCCTGTATACCCAAATAACTAGATTTTGAAGGGTAAACAAAATATTGCATGAAAAAACTTGTATTAAAAAGTTTACTAATTGATTGATAATAATTTACAAACTACCATTCCAAGTATTTCTTTTTTTGAAATAAAGATAAAGTCTATACATTTTTTTAAATGCCAATCAAACGAAGACTAATAGGGGAAATCAATGGTGGTATTTCCTCGTGCATGAGGTATAACTGCGGGACGAGAAAAAAATAATGTGGCCAAATTCCTATACTTTGTCATCCTAAAGGCGAATAAGATAATGGTCCGAGTACACAGTTGTCGTCCTTTGATTTTCGTTGTCCATTCCCTAATGTGGACAGTGTGTTACTTCCCAATTTTTTTATACCCCTTCCAAATTTATTTTTCCATGTTTTATGCCTCAAATAGCAAGTAGGGAAGTGAAATTACACTGTAAAAAAATCTAAAGTAAAGTAGTGATTTGGTCCAGCTGAAAAAGGTTAAAAATAAGCACTTCGGAAGCTGTCAAAAGATTTCAAGACCCCTTAACATAAAATTGTCCATATTTTGAGTTAGAGCCGATGAAGTTTTCTATAATTTTGATATAATTTGTCCCAAAAGTAGTACAACACACTGTAAAAATATTATTGAGAAAGCGCAGGTGGGATTTTTTTAATTTTCATTTATTTTCTATAAGAAATGCACTACGAAATAACTGTGTACTCGTACCTAAGGATTAATAGATTCAAGAAGCGATAAACCGCAAGGCTTGAAATTTTATTGCATGAACCCTTTTAAAACTCATGATTTTTCTTTCATTTAATTACTCGTCATGCATATGTTTTTTAAATTTGTTTTTAAGAGAAGTTCAAAAGAAATTATTTTAACGGTTGAATGATAACTTTGGTACACGTTTTTGTCTACGCTTCAAACTTTGAGTCCATTTTTCATTTCTGCTTTTTTGATAATGTGTATGCCTAATCGAGCTAAATATGCTGTAATCAGTCTGCTCTCCAGTTCATCAGTCAATTCAGTAGCCGAGGGACTGTTTAATGTTATTTTACTGTGTAGATCATTGATAAATAGATGTTACCCATTGAAAGCCTCCTCCTTTTTACATATTGTACCAACATTTATGTGTTTACAGTCTAACGTGATCGCAGACCAAAGGATCATCGGAGTTTGTTTAAGAAATTGACTCTTTTTTTAATATGATAATAAAACAGGTCAATTGCGAAAACAAAAAAAGTCGGTTTAAAAGTATATTATCTTTTATATATCCAAAATTTTATTTGCTTCATAGAAATATTAAAAGATTAAGTGCAATGAACGTAGTTTGTTTTTTCCCCCGAGAATAATGTATATATAATATTGTATATATGTCTCTGCTAAAAGTCATAAAATTATTATTTGATCTTTCAATTAACTCCGATAAATATGTCGAAATCGGTTTAAAAGTATATTATCTGATATATATGTTCAAATGTTTATTTACTTCATAAAAAATATTAAAAGATTAAATACAATGAACGCTACGTTCTTCCCGATGATAATCTTCCTGTTTAGAAATATTTATATAATAAATTCAACATTCATTATCATATTTTTGGCGATCAAACAGCACAAGTCTTTGTTTCAAACTGTTTAGCGCAGAGTTCATACGTATGTTAACAGCCGAAATATCGAAAATAAAAAAAATTTGTAAATAGGATAAGTTTACTAATCTTCAAATCCTATTATGACAATTATTTAAATTCCCTTAGATCATGCGGTCAAATGATTTTTACTTGCTCAAGCAAATATATTTATAACAAAAACATTATCAATGTATAGGTTATAAGGATTCAAAATTCTTATCTGCAAATACTAATTTCTTCTGTGTATAGCTTTGGTATTTTCAAAATATATCAATGAAACAAGATGGGTAGATTTTTAGTTTTACTTATACGTTTACAAATGTAATATGTTTTGCGCAAACTTTAATTGATGGGTCCTTTATACCTTAAGGGTTTGCTCATTGTTGGAACCGTACGATGACACATAGTTGATAACATCCTCGTCCTTTGGTAATGGATGGGTAGTTGTTTCATTGGCAATCATACCACATCATTTAAAAAGAGCGTATTTACTACTAGTATCTTTTTTATAACTCTAGAAAGGTTAAAGTGACGCCACAAAAATTCAATCTTGATCTGTGTTTTGTAGTAATAAGCATTGTGTATACGTTTCATAACATTTGGTTGAGGCAAACTCAAGTTGGAGAACGGAAACCAATTTTGGGACGTAAGTACGTACAGACGGACAAGGGTAAAACTTAATGCCCCCACCGCTACGGCGGGGGCATAAAAAGTCGAAAATCTTATAAACTAAGACTTCGATGTACAATGCAATCATGTGACTTAAACACAAAAGTGTTAATCTTTGCTCTGCATCGATATTATTAAAAATGTCTCTCGTGTCTAACTTCATATATATACCGTGAACTGGTGTGTTCTTATAGCATATACAGACAATAATGGAATGTGAGGAATTTAGTCGCATATCAACATTATAAATATCAACTTACACAAAATTCAATATAGCCTACTGTTGTTTTTTTTTTTTTTTTATTCTTTTTTAATTTCATTACTCTACTATATACAACAACGTTTTCTTGTATCTTTAAGTCCATGATCTCGTGCTGGAGTGGTAAAGCATGCTCCTTTTGTTGCCTGCAGATACTGACCACACTTTCATCAATAAATGAATACTGCAGCAGCGTAACTAAACAAGCCATATTTCCTGTGCTTGTTTGTTCCTTTTTAGATTAATCTGCTTTTGATTTTTGCTTATTTTAAGTGCTATTAGTTTTTCAGTAGCTTTATTATGTGCTTGTTTAACTAAATTCTGTATGCTTTTATGCATGCCTACTCCTTCTTACGTGACAACTGTATATGTGTTAACTATTGTATGTATTGTGTTGTCCTACTGTGTCTGCACGCACTGCTATATAATATGCATGTCTATAATTTATTACGTGTGTAGGTTCAAAAGTTCTCTTAGATCGTATGTTTTATTGTTATATAACATGCCAACTTAAAGTAAAACTTTTAAATTGATTTTGATTTGCAACAAAATATCAACAGCGTCTTTGCGGGGGACGTGAAAAAACAGAAGGAACATACCATACGAGCAGTTATTATATGAGCAAGATATTCTGTATTAATCCGCGTAAACGTGTTTACGCAGAAGCATAGCAACGTATGTTTTATACACGCCTAAAAACCATACGTATAAATTCGATAATTTTACACGGCATGAAAAACAGACATTTTACATACGTTTATAATTTTTCATTTTGTATAAAACGTTGCTTAACATATTCGATCAACGAGTGTTTAACGGACAAAATTTTGATGACAAACTCATATATTAAACTGATGCTAAACAGACTTCCTGAGAATTTCGTTCGTGGACAATGAAATTTTAATGGAAACGTCTATTCTGTTACTTACCATTATGGCTATTATATCTATGGTTACACATTGTACGCATGTTTTACGGATGTTTACCGTGTGTAACAGTGTGCGTGAAATTACGTTGCTATGTTACTTATATAAAAAAAACACTTTGAATAAAAATTTGTAAACACCGTGTTCTTCGACAGTAGTCATTTAGATGGAGTTTGTGGTGGTGAATAAAAGGCTGGTGTTTTAACATATTTACCAAAATATTTAGATTGTTTATTACTTACAATATGAAGACCTCAAAACGTACTTTGGTGTTTGTTTCGTTTGTTCCTGTCTTTTAGACGTATACCCCACATCTCCTTTTATTCATTTAACAGATCCAATAGTTCAACATTTTATTGAAATGAACAAAAGATGTGTGGTAACCGTCCAAAGGACAGCTAATATGGTTCGGATGAGGTGCAAATTAAAGGTAAGAAACAAAACTATCATGATTTTCTATTAACATATATAATTGTAAACTTCCAAAACTACGATCTAATAGCTATTAGTATTTACTAATTAAATGAGACACGAACAAAATTTGAACGTTGAAATTTTCAGGCTACTTATAGTTTTTAAATAGAAACCCAAATTAAGGCATTCGTTTATGGTATTAAATTTATCACGGTCAACGAATCGCCTTTGTTTTTAAAGTAGTATAGAAAATATGACAAACGTTTAACAATGTGTCCAGTATTGGGTTAAAACCGCGTATTGGGTCATATATTCTGTGAACCCAAAACCACTAGGCGTAACAGCCTTGGGAAAGCTCCACGAATATATTTAACGAAGGATTTTAAACTGTCGTAATCACTGGTTGATTATTGTTGGTGCGGCTGGCAATTATACTTATATCTGTGTGATATCTAAAAATTGTATTAGATCGAATATTACCAAGATTTACTTCGGAATACTTTTTAGAAAAATGGAACTACCAAATTTATTTTTTCTTCTTATTTTAATTACACAAGCAAGGGGAGCAAGTAAGTCTTTTAATAATGACATATACTTTTCCCGCACTAAACAGTTGACTTATACCAAAGTATTATTTTTTTTAGAATCTGCTAATGTTATTATTTTTTTTCTACTTACTAACATTTCTCCATCAAACGCTGTATCTTACAGTTTGTATATTTTCATCATTATATATTTATAGATTGTTTAAATGTTTATCATAGTTATTGTTGAAATAATTGAAAAAGCAAATTTATTGATATGACTAGGTATTCATTCCACGTTTTGTTGGGTTATAAATTCCACACCCTTTTATTTTCAAAAATGAAATATGAATATGTTGTGTATTCCAGTGGTTGCTAATAACAGAAATTTAAAGTGAAAATTATGTAAATGTAAACACAGTTTATACAGCTGCAATGATTATCTTAATATGTTTGAATTGTTTTTTAATTAACTCTTCACAGAATTTTCTTATTTGCACGAAGATAATTATTAGTCGATATTATATCTGTTAATTTTATGTTTGTGTCCGTTCACAGAGGTAGGCCCAAATTTCAATGATTTATTTCACACCAGGTCCATTTTCTAAAAAATCCTTCAATCTTTTCTTACATTCTCATTATCGTAGATATAAATGTGTAAGTTTTGAACAATATGTTGATGTATTTTCTAACATGTGACCAAATTATAACTGCCTAAATTAATTCATTTTCGTTAGGGACCTCCTTCGGTGTAAAATTTATGAAAACGCGAAATTTGCAATAGTGTCTACGATAGCAACATTTATATGTAGCGCTGAAAAAACACTTTCATATAATCGAAATAAGTGAAATTATGGATAATTTTTGTGAGATTATTATATAGACTCTTTGATATTGGAATACTAGAAAGTTTTAAACACTGCTCAATAGTACATTCAAATCAATGGACATAATAGAATAATCCATAATGCATGAGCATAGGTAAACAAAAACAAAAAGCATCTTCAATGTAGAAATATACGAGAGAAGTGGGACTATTCAGTTGATAAAAAAATGACTACAAATAGATATAATAATTACATATATTATAGCCCCAGAGTAAACAATGTCAAAGACCTCCTGACTCCCTAAATCTTGTTAAACATACTATTACTACCTACGAATGAGTTCTCAGAAATAAGAACCACTACCGTTTACGGTTATCTAGCACATAGCTGTTTTTATTATTTGTCTGTATGCGCTTATTTTTCGAAAGTGTTTGTAATATCAAAAATGTAAAATGTATTGATCTGTACTGAAGCAAGACGACCTTGATTTTCCTTAATTCAATCATTCAGGACAAAGTAGTCATAACCTTAAAGAACCCTATGATCCATTTGTGGTTATTTTCAATGTAAATGCATGTTTTTACGACTCAGGTTGGAGTCAATGAAGCTTTACTGTATATAGGCATACCCGTTTAGTAATTAATAAACATATACCTTTCATGATAGTATACGAGATTCATATGTATTGAGCAAAAAAAGTTGGACAGATACTTCTATAGTTCTTCTTGTGATATATCGAAGCGTTAATGGTATTTCGAACTTATCACTGTTATTTATGAGATTTGAACGACGGTAAACAACTGTTGCCTCAATTTTTTTATTTTAGAAATATAAAGATAATTGTATCAAATTGCATAATCTTTTTGCTGAGATATCATGTACTTAATAATATTAATAGCTTGATGATATCTTCTATATCTATTTATACGGGTATGTTGTTGCCAAATTACCCCTTGATATAGCTATACAGTAATTTGTCATTAATCTTGTACACAAGGTCAAATTTAATCAAATAATGCATGCTTTGCGAAATTGAAAAAAACAAAAAAACATATAAGTTAAGATGACTTTGTTCGCTTTTGACTATTACCTTTTCACATTGCAAAACAACTACCTTTCTTGAAATGAGTCGTCTTGAATATGCATGAAATACTTGCCGCTGGACGCTAGACAAGCAACAATCAACCAATCAATCCACTGTAGAATTTCAAGCAATGATTTTCTTTTTATCATCGATTCATACCTTCATAACAATAATAATACTTCGGCCAACTGAAATTGTCTATAAATATTTGACGTCATTGAAATGGAATTATTTAAATACAATTGTTAATATTATTAGATAAATCTGTGAATTAGTTTGGAGAAAAGATACTGCAAGAAAAATTTAAACATTTTATTTGCATTCTATGAAAGTGTTCATTTACATTCATGACGAATTTTCTTCAGTCTCTTTTCTAAAAATGAAAGAATAAAAGTAGTTTTTTTTATTCTAAGTTAAGAGTTCAGCATGACCAAGTCTAGAAACTTTTACATTTACTATAAATTGATCTTGATAAATTATAAATATGAAAAATAAATTAATAGTTAAATATCTTAATGACTTCTATCATATATATATATATATATTATTTACATGTTTTTGTCAGAGGCGACAATGAATTAATATCAGGGGTTAGTTATTTTGTTTAAACACGAACTTTACTTTCTAAATGTGTAACAAAAATATTTATTCAACTATAGTACTGCATAAAAACCGGAGTTAACTGTTTTATTTGATACGTTCTTTATTCACAGAACAAGTAACAAAAACATGTATTCAACTTTTGTACTGCCTAAAACTCGGTCTTAACAAAGACACAAGAATCTTTTGAAACAAAAAATGTATTATAACTACACAAAAGAAATATTTTAACCCCATGACCAGTGGAAACATTCGCACACAATTCATTAACAAGGTACTAATGCACTGAAATTTTGATTCACTTGTATAGTGTATAATAAGTTAAACATGACAACGTAAATGCATTATAAATATAACAAATACTTTAATATTTATTACAAATGCAACATTGTTAAAGCAAATGCTCAATATTCCGATACATTGTACAGATCAAAGCAAATTACAACAAAATATTCTGCATAAATAAATATAGTTTCTTTTTAGCTTAGGTACAAGCAATGTTAAAATAAATCGAATAGTATACTAGTACTCTGCAAAAAGAAAAACCTGCATAGGTCCAATTCATTTTGAAAATGAAGTTCACCATAAATAAATGAATGCTTAATTGTCATTACAACTGTGAAACGATGTTATGACAAGATTGGTCCTTGCTAAAAGTAACAACGTCATCGACCGTCTTTAGACTGTATAAGCTCAATCTGAGGTAGCCCGACAATTTAACATTCACCAGAGTACAATTTCCTGCCTTTGGCAAGGATTGAATACAAATTGGATCAGCTCAAGGTTGTCTTATAAGTGTTAGGTAACGCCTCTCTACTCCAGTCGAAGATCGATGTATCCCAGTGTTCATTCTACGTAAATGATTACGAACGTTCATTGCTACAACCATTGATATTGGTATCCAAGGCTTACGGAGTTTTTTTAACACAAAACAACAGGATTCGCCAACACGGAATTCGGCCACGTCTAGTTTTGACCCATATACACAGACGTACACGTGTTCGTTGGCGTCATAAAATAAAGGTCTAGACTTTGCGAAACCGGCGCCGAATTTGACACAAGGATGGTTCATGTTTTCTTCTGAGCGTTTCAATCCAGTCTTAGTTTAGGAAGTTGACAGATTTGGCGGTGGAAGCTTCATGAGATTGGCAAAAAATCCTCGAACAGCCGAACAACCATAGTTCGTGTCGATCTATTTAAACGGCTTTACGTTATAGAGACGATATTTTACAACCTAATATGCTCTATGTAATATTGACATTGACAAAGGGAGGTGTTTTAACAGGACAATATTCGGCCGCATACATCAAGGATAACCATGGCTTTTCTTACTCATTACAATATTAATTTATTGCCAAGGTCCTCAAGTCGTCAGATTTGAATTTCCTAGAACATTTTTGAGGAACAACTTGATAGACGAGACCGTGAACGCAAATCCGCATCTTAATAGTGGTCCAAAAACAAATATGATTCTATCCATGTCAAAAAGATGAAGAACATTGTTGTGGTCACAATAGATAGGACTTAAACGTAATCGGAAATTGTTCAAATTTATCGTATGTGACGGGTTTTTTCTTCTTCAAATGATTAACAAATGACTAAAATGACGTTGTTCTGGTACGCTTTTAACACTTTCTTCAACTAAAAAGAGCCTTAGCTGACTTCTTAAATCGTTACATTTGCAGCTTGTTTTTAAGAATATAACATGTCAGTCCCGGAATCACTAGTGTAGAATCTTACACTATGTAAAAAGAAAATCAAACAAATTATAACAAATTATAACAAAAGCTACAAACATTGTAGCAAAAGCAGTGGTTCGAATTTTTCGCTTTTTTGAACATTATAAAAAATTTTGTAAAAAATCCTTTGTTTATCTATTCTAAGCAATTGCATAAAATATAAGACAATATCTGTATTAATATTGCATTGCCATTATTATAAATGCTTTCGAAATTAGTGAACTTTCAATTAATCATAACTACTTACCCTTCAAAAGTCCACAATGTCACCCCTTGTTCCTGACGTTGCTATTGTGTTATATATTGCGCTCTTCTATTTTTGCAAGGAAAATGTTTGTCCATTCACGACAAGTTTCCTTTTTAAGGTTCATTTCAAGTTACCGTCTCTCCTAAAGATAGACTCAATTTGCAGAACCTTTCCAATGAATATATAATTAACTTGCTATATTCATGCATATAAACCTTAGGCAAACTAACTACTCTATTATTGTATAAAGAAAATAACATGCAGAAGATACCAATGGTACACTTAAAAAACTGTAATAAAACAGACATTACTAGCCAAAAAGGAGAACAGCGATAAGACAATAGTCTACATAACACGTCACAAAAAACTAACGACTAAGTAACACGAACCGCATCGAAAACCCAGCTTTAACTAGAATTTTTGGCATAGGGATATAATATACATTTTCACTGAACGTGATTTATGCACAATACTAGAACAAAATTTCGCTCTATTTCTGTAGACTCTTCAAATCCAAAAGAAACACCCTGGCTCTTATCTTTTTTGTT